TGTCTTACAGTTCTTCCTTCATGGTTGTTGAAATTCATTTTACCTTTTATTCTATGTATTCGAGTCCTTGAACCTCACTTCTGATTAATAAATGTCACTTCACATACGAAGTGCTTTATTTCCTTCCCATTCATTTGCAATGATGTACTTGTTCTTAATTTATCTGAAGTGATTTACTTCTTCTTAAATCATCTAAAGTGACTTCCCCTTTGGTTCATTTCTGAAGTGGTTAGCTTTTTTCCAACTCACGTCTCAAGTACTCTCAGTTCTTATTCATAAAAAATAACAAACATATACAGCAAACACAAAACAAATATATAATTTCAAAACTGAATTTTCATTTAATGTAATAACAACATTACAAATTGTTTAATGTTTCTACAAAAAAAAAAAAAAAAAGCTATTTCTCTGCTGGGAGAGGTGGCTCCACTGGCTCTGCTCAGCGGGAGGAGGTGGCTGTGTTGGCTGCTGCTCGTCTGGCAGAGGAGGCTGCTCATCGTCCGAAGGAACTGAGTGAATCTCCACTTTTGGAACTAGTTTCCTCTCATCCACCTCAGTTCCTTCCACTATTGCCTCCTTTTCGTCTTCCTCTACCTCTGCCCCTTCTTCCTCCACTGCCACGAACTCGAAGTCTAATTCTGGAGGGAAAATGGCACGTCCGTCTGCATCATCCTTCCACCTCAGTTTGATTTGAGGACGGAAGTCTACTGACATGCTTTCACCATCCTCCTTCACTCCTTCTTCTTGCTCGCCGAAGGTGATCTTGGTAATATCCACTTCGGGATATTCTGCCTTCACCTTCTTCTTGCAGTCCGTGAATGCAATGATGGCAGTGGGCAACCGGTACAAGTTGACGATGTTGTCAAACGAGCTGGAGCTGATGAAGTTGCTGATGTGCTCCTTCATCCCATTGTGCACCAAGGTCTGCACATTCTCCTTCAGCTCCGTGAAAGCCTCAGTCATCAGCTTTATTTCTTGTGCCTGAGCCTTATGCTCGCTTTCAGAGATCCTTCGTTTGCTCTCCTCAAAGACGAGCTTGGTGCTCAGGGAAGCCCTCTCCTGCTCCAACTGTTTCATAGTTGGAACCACCTCGTTCAGCGACTCTTGCAGTTCCTTATTTTTCTTCTCCAGCTCCTCCTTCTCCTTCTGCAGCTGGTCACACTGCCTCTGCAAGAGTGAGCGCTCTTTCACGCTGTCCATGAACTCCTGGGCTAGACCATTCACCCAGCTCGCGCTCTGCAAATCCATGCAGAAGTTAAGAGAGACAGAAGAGAAAAAGACGGAGATTAAATACATAATATCAATAATTTAACATACCTCTAGCACATGCTTCACCACTGAAGCCCCACAGTATCTCAGAGTCTCGTCCCGTGCATTGCGTTTGTCCACTTCGGGGAAGGTGCTATTGATGAACCACCTAGCCCCTGTCATGTTCTTCGCCTCGAAGAGGCTGCTCTGAAACGCTGTTGGGGGAACAGGGCCCTTTCCCTTACCAGGAGCTCGTACCTCAGCCCCTTCCTCCAACTGTCTGAGCTTAGGGTTAAACTCAACAGGAGGAGGCTGAGGTACGAATTGCGGAACCTCGTCCCCCCTCTCCTCCTCTTCCACCACCCTTTGCCTCTTCTGTAGTGCCCTCCTCTCCTATCAACCCTTCCTCTTCAACTGTGGCACCTTCTCCTCTGCCTCAGCTGAAGTAGTGGGCACTACCTCCTTCCCAGCTCTCCCCTCATCCACTCGCTTGGTTGAAGTCTTTGACTTCTTCCTTGGCTTCTTGGGGATAGCCACTCCTCCATCAGTGTTCAAAAATCAATCCATTTCAGCCGCAAAGTAAGAAAACACATTATCAATCACAGTTCTATACTCTACATTCAGTACTACAATGCAGAATTAAACCAACCTTCACTCAAAGCACTTGGCCCATAGAGCTCAGCAGCTTCTATGCATTGTGCGCTGGTGAGGTCCATTATATTTAATAAATCCCCCCCCCCTTCCTCTCCAATTTCCTCACTTCTTCCTCTTCATCCTCATTTAAGCTAAACTTATTCTGGTTGGCTCTTTTAACCTTCCAGGATGCTAACTCCTTCACCTCGGCATCCCCCCTCCCCCACTCCGTATCATCTACAAAAAAGAATTTTTCCTTCCATCCTTTAATAGATGAAGGACCCGTAGTGAACAAAGACCTACTCTCCCTATTAGCTACCCTAGGGGTGAAGTAATACCACCCCTTATCCCTCCTACTACCCCCCTTTAACACAAAAAAATATTTGAACATATTTACGGTTGGCACACTAATCCCCTGAGCTTGGCAATAAACTAAAAATCCTATTATTACCCTCATAGCATTGGGAACTAATTGTGTCAACCCTATACCATAATCTAGTAGTAAACCTACTAGCAACTCAAGAATTGGAAATTTAAGCCCCGCATATAAATAATGGGCATATACAGGCATCCAATGATCCCGAGGAGCAGAACACGCTCTCTTCTCTACCCCGGCTGGCCTAACTAACACTCGGGAAGAGATCTCGTAATTTTCTACTAAGTGACCCAAGCTATCCCTGGTCCCGAGTTCAGATCTGTACAGCTTCACCTCTTCTACTATCTCCGCATCTATTTCATATCCCCTATCTCCCCTACCCTCTACTTCTACCACGGTGATAGGCACTCCATCTCCCTCAACCCCCACCATCTCATTCCCCCCAACCTCTACTACTTCATCCCCTCTTACCCCTTCCATTATTCTCTCCGAACCAGATGGAGATGGACTACTCTCCGAGTCCATGCTCCCATAGTCCAAGGGCATCACCTCACTCCCTACTATACTTACTGTTTCTTCCGAAGACATTTTCTCAAACTCTGCACGAAATGGGGGGGAGGAATAAGTCAGGATCCCCTTAAAAAAATATATATATATATATCCCTCTTCTGCACGTTCAAAACCCTTCTTACCTCTAACCCTAACTTCCTTCAAAAGACTCTAAATCAATCACAGAAAGGGAGAAAGGAAAAGACTCTAAATCAATCACAGAAATGGAGAAAGGAGAAAGACACTACGACTAACTCAAAATCAGAGGTTCGTCATATATTACCTGATTTCGGTTTTGAAAGACTTGATGTAGAGATCCCCAGCTGATGCCGTAGTTCACGCGCAAGAAACGCACAGTAAAGCTTTTCGCAGAAGTTTTGTAGGAAAAGAAATGCAAGTAAACCTCTCTCTGTAGAAAAAATGCTTATTTATACCTCTGGGCAAAATTAGATCTCAAGGGCTGAGATTCATTTAATCTTACGGTTACTATTAACACCATTTGGAATTCGAAGGCCAACCCCAAACGGCACCGTTTTGAATTCGACGGTTCGTTTTTTAAAATCTGCCCGTTTAACTGTTGCAGTTATCTTTTTACGGCTGCATTTATTGCACACGTCATTCCAAGGACAACTGTCAGATTTTTCAGACGGACCCACTTAAACTCATTTCAACACTTCGCTTACACACATTCTCAATTTTTGAAGTGTTTCACTTCGGCTCTGGCCACAACGATCCTGCATTACATGTTCCACATTGACTTCGATCATAGTGACCAACATCATACATTTCGCTTCGGCTCCGGCCATTACGGCCCCGGTCATTATATTTTATTATGGCTCCGGCCATTACGACCCCGGTCATTATATTTTATGGCTCCGGCCATTACGACCCTGGTCATTATGTTCTATTATAGCTTCGGCCATTACGACCTTGGTCATTTTATTTTATTATGGCTCTGGCCATTATGACTTCCGTCTTTATACTTAAGCTTAGCTCAGCACTTCTGTTTACTTTTACAATTACACTTTTTAACTAGCATAGTGTTTCACTTCGGCTACGGCCACAATGACTCATTGTGACTACATGTTACATGCTTTACCTCGGCTCCGGCCTCTATGACCCCGGTCATCATTTCCTATGACAGCCCTGGCCTCCATGACTCCGATCATCATCTTTTACTATGGCTACGGCCACGATAACTCCGGTCATTATTTTTACCACGGCCACGGCCATGTTCGCTCCGGCCATATTCTATTTAAGGCACACCAGTATGACCCACTGTTACATATTTCATCAT